CTCCTCTCTCAAGCACGTTTTCTGATCCGGCCACCAACACCGAATGATAAACAAATCGCTCCTCGTAGACACGGAACAGGAGAGAACGAGAGAAGAGCTGAAGAGACTGCATGAGGTACTGTCCAGAGCACATAAACAGAACGAGTTAATTGGTCTTCGTGGTTAGTAAATTTGTGTGTGTCTATGTGTAGCTTGGTTCTGTTTGTTTATACACAGTACATCCTTGTTCTGTTGGAAAAGCTGTCTCGGTTGTTGTTGTTGTTGTTGTTTGTGTCTGCTGCTGCTGTTGCTGCTTTGTGAAATCAGTCCGAAATGGCTGCATGCATGTTGTGCACTCGAATCATGCCGACACTGAGTTAGCTGACTGAGCGCAGCGACAAGGGAATTAGCCTTGACAGCTGGAGCGGAGGAGGGAGATCACGTAGATCATTCAATGGGGTGATAATTGAGCATGTACTCTGTTCATCAGATCACGCACGACCGCGGAACGGACCTCAAACTGTGTGATATGGTGATGATGATATTAGTTGGAGGGCGGGCGGGATGGAGCTGGGTAGAGTCAATGCCTACCGTCTATGGCGCAGTTTCACCAACGCGTTGTTGTTGTGCTTTCCGACGCATGCAGATCAACATTGATGCCCGATGCATTTTTAGATGAAAAAGGCGGTTTAGTGACCGGTGGTGGGATAAGAGAAAAATTCACCGTTCACGTCTTCTTCACCCCCCTCCCGTTAGTCCTATTGGGATATGCACCGTCCTTTGATTCCTAGAATTTAGTTTACGCAGATTAAGGTCGACGTTTATCAACGGGTCTTTAGCATTTCAAGATGTGAGAAAAGGTGATCTCCTCGTGGAGGAGAGTTGCTGACTAAGCTTTGTACAACATGTGACACCTTTTTAACAATGTGAGGAATGTTCTGCAATGATGGCTGCCAGTTGTAAAGAATATGACATGATTTGGGGGTAGCCCTAAATATATCAATGGCATAAATATTAATACAATGAACTTGCCAACGTTTTCTGGTTGTAAGATTTACTCAAAACAGAGAAATTCCATTGAAAATTATAAGATTTATTGATCATTAGGTTGGAGTGAAGCTACATTTTGCTAACTTCTACCTAGAGGTGAATATGATCAGGAAGCAAAAATGTGGGAAGTGACCAGGACGGGACGAGGACAGAGAAGGAAAGCGTTGTCGTAACAGAAGGTGCAATCACACCACAAATGTGTAAGCAAAGGGAAAAACGGACACCACAATTGTTGATAATGTTGAAGACCTGGTTGTGTCTGTGAGAGGACAATATGTCTGTCGAAATAGACCGCTGTAACTCCGTTCGGGAGTCGGGGTGGGTGGGTGTAAATATTCATTAGTGAAGGGTGATAGTATCACTAGGGATGAAGAACTCACTAAATTAGCAGTATTCAAAACGTTTAAGTTAAACATCACGAAAGTATACAAGAGTTGGGAGCTGTGGTTTCTCTTATTATGCATGAAATTAGGGATTTGTTGTCTGCAATATTCCTGCACGTGTGGAGATTAAGTGAAATTTACGGAAATGAGTCCCATGCATGTATCTGTGAATTACCAAACTCGTTGATAACCAATGCGGCGATACACCAATTGTGCTAACTATCTACGGGGTGGGGTTTCAAGTCCCCACTCTAAGCATTGCTGTTCGATTCCCAGCAGGACGGTATCAATTATCCCCTGGTAACAAGTCTCTACAGGTCTGAAACAGCCGACAATCGCCTATTGTCGGCTACTTCACCGAAATTGCATCAGAAACACGTAGAAATTTGTTCATTAATCGATCAGTTCATCAAACCATCTACTCTAATCTGTACATGCATTTTCTTTAAAACGCTTATCAGACGGAACGACGTTCTAGAAATCTTCATATAATCAATACGAGCTACGAAGAGAATCATTTGTAAAACATTTTTCCGTCACGAGTAATATTCGTGTATTCAAACGCCTGTTTTCTACGAAATCTCCCCTTTCCACAACCGAACAACCATCGGGTCGATTATCGCTATAAACGATGCTCTAATTCATCAAATTGCTTGAAAACTAACATACTGATGGTTTGCTACTGAGTGACCTTGAAAATAAGAACAAACGATAATTTATTACCATCAGTCTGAGTCTTTGCGCAGATCAGTTGGTTTAATGAGTTCGTGGAGTGCTTGGAATTGAAATCGTTCCGGTGAGGAATCAATTTGGTCCGAAAGAATTTGTGGACAAAGGCTTCTCTTTTCATCTCAATCTTCTTGACGTTTAAAGGTGACACTTGAACAAAGATTGTGCACGGAATGCTGTTGAGCAACATTGATGGCGGTAAATATTATCAACTTTTGGCCTGGATATCGGTCGTTCGGACTTGATTAATAGCGTTTAATATATAAGATCTCCACCTTGACTCATTTGAATAAGACGTTGATGGCGTATTCTTCTCAGTAGGGAGATATTTTACCTAACTTAATTTAGTTTAAGTTGACCAACTTGTGGTTGCTTTATTCTGTTTTGTAAAACATGTGCAGCGGTGCGCAACACAACCGGTGTGTTTTGTTCATTGTACTTCGGGGAACAGGTGACGATTACACAGGACCATAACTATTCCATCAACTTTGCATTCAGTTTTTGAATGAAAGGAAGATAAGAAAGTTTTTAAAAGTGTAACAAACTCGCAATGAACCTTTATCATGACCGTTTGTGATGGACAAGGGAATATGAGCTGCCTTGCGAGCAGGAAGTGAACACCACGGTACCAGTCATGCAGTATTGCTTTCCTTTTTTCATCACGGGTTATATATCACACGTTGAAACGTAGCGTATTACTGTCAATTGAGGGACCCTTCTTACCCACATCATTCGAAAGCTAGTTTATTGCGGTTGGCCACCATGCATGCATGAGAGATCTACCCGCGCGAAGCTTCCGTGACAAACGAAATCACCCCGGATCGGGACACAACAACCGCACACACATACACACACATAGTTGCACGGCCGCACGTGTACGGCGTGCGCGAGTCAGAACAAACTCACGCTCAAGCATCTAATGATCCTGTCATCGGGTCCTTTTGAAAAACTGCTCGTTGCATACCACCGGTTTTGCGCGACACACGCGGGGTGCAGAGCGAACAGTGTACACGAACAAAATGCATTAATCATCGTTAGTCTGTGGAAAAACATCACACGGCCAGATCGGTCTGTGTGCACCCGGTAATCAAGTCCGAAATTCGACAAGATAGAGTTAGTTAGCTAGTTACCAGCCGGGAAATGAGATAAAAAGGCATGTCAAAGTATGCTGACGAGGCCAAGGGTAACAGCAACAGTACCAGACAGGCGTTATGATCGCACAGCAGCAATACACAGCAATACACTACCGTATCAAGAACATTAGTCTAATCGACCCATTACGGCGAGGTTCATCCGACTATATCAATCCTTCACGGGGGTTGTAGCCATATAATGCTTTTGGTAGCAAAGTGTTGTCCTGAAATGGGAATCTGCTGAGCAGATACCTAATCGGGATGCGAATGTGTATTTTATTGCGACCATGGGACAGAACAATATTAAAATGAGGTCACTAAATTCAAATATGAGTTCAGCAACACATGATGACAAACCAGCAATCGTTAAAAAGCACTTTCAATTGTTGGTTTTTCAGAAGGTAGACTACAATGTTCCGCATTGTGAAATGTCTCATTCCCTCTCTCTCTCTCTCCCTCGTTGGATTCCTTTAATAACTCATTGCTTACTCAATTCTTTTGCGGTAGGCAGGTTTAGCCACTATTCGATGCCGTCATTGTCTGGAAGGCTGTTGCAAAGACACCTGCTCACGAAATACTTCCCGAGTGGTGGACACAATAGAGATCAGCAAAAAGACAATTGAGTGAGGAAGGCGATGGCATTCAGCTTATGATATGTTAGACGCGAATTGCAAATTACATCAAAAAGTTATTTGAAACCTTTTCTTGAATATTTTTCCGTTTATCTTAATATGTGATGAAGAGGATAAGTCCAAACGACCTGCTATTTAGTCGTGAGAACTGGACTGATCAACTTTTTTTAACACATCGTGACCAAATGATGTTAGGAGTGTATCGAAAAATCGATGCGCCATGTGTTGTTTTATTGTGAATGTTATAGTGTTCATAACGCAGTGATGTCGGTAGAGAATTATATTCGCCGACGTTTCGGTTACCCTGGGTAACCTTTCTCAAGGCAGGTTTTTACAATCAAATGATCAACCGTGGGACTTGGATTGAACAACGACTTGTGAGACTCTTTTCAAATAGGTATTGGTTTAAACCGGGTAAGTGAGAAGATGACTACTGTCGATGTAGACTGGTGGTAGAAGTGTTCGAAAATGAAACTGTGGCAGCCACCTAAACCGCTTAACCAATACTACCCTCTGTATAACCAGAAACCTTGTATCAGCGTGTCATGAATGACCGAAAAATGTTGGATAATTGGTCATCTAAGTTGTGGTCTTTGGATAAATTCCAAACCCAGTTCACCGCAATGAAGGCCTCTCCTAGCGCAAAAAGATTTCCCCTGAGTTACCCAAAAATTATCTGTTTGGAAAATGAATCGAACATACTTCTGATATGAAACGTGGGTTTCCTTTTTGACAATACATCTGGCCTACCACGTCACTCCAAATACCAAGAAGATTTGGTGAGTTGTATGATTGAATTCACGGAAAACGCACAATTTTGTAACCATTTTGTAATCATTCCTGTCTGGTTAGAGTGATACGGAACCCCTTAAAAAGCTGTTCAAGCTCATTATAAAACCTGCGCAAATAACTCTACATTTCTGATCACAGACATGCATGCCAAAATCCATTGTCCATATGCAAAATAAAAGCTATTGCTCTCTCTGGTTGTGGTATAAAGATTCTGTACCACAATCTATATCTATCTATGCTATTATCTCTCTCGCGTTATGTACTCATTCATCACTCATTCACTAACTCACCCACCCACCCACCTAACCAGATCCTGGTTTTTGGGGATTCGCACTTACCGTGGCCAGCTCCAGTCCACCAGGACTGCGTCTGAGTGTGGTATGCGTTGGGGGAGCACTGATTCCCCCTGGTCCACTCACAATACAGCTACTTCCTCCACCTCCGCCCGCGATTCGACAGTGCTCAGGCACACATGTGTGATACATTTCATGCTCCGGATGCCAAAGTCGGGTCGTGTAGTCCGCTGCCCCGTCTGGACCGGTCGCTGGGGGTGTGGAACTGATACGGGATGTGAGTGTTGGGCTGGCAGTTAGACGCATGGTGTATTTTCCGTACGTGCCATCTTTACCAGTCAGAAAACCCAGTTCTGGATCAGCCACGCAACGATAATAGTCCATATTTACAGGAACCGTGGCCTGATGAATGGCAATGGTTTCTGTTGGGCAACACACACAGATGAGGGGAGGTAAATAAAGTGTAATGGATGGGACTATATATCACATTAGAGATCCAGTTATAACATTTGAACCTATCATAAATGAAAAACCTGCCCCCTATTTAGTATAGATCATTAATACCCAAAAATATTATTATGAATAGGTGTACAAAATCTTCATCAGTAGCGGGTAGCCAGTTTCACGGTTCTAACGGTCCATCAGTTATGCAAGATATATTTGGACTAACAATGCAAGATACGACACAGTATGCTCATGTACAACTAAGAGAATATTTGGGATGGTTATATGTTAATAATTTGTGAGTTAGTTGCTTTTAGCCTAATCACACTGGACCGGAAGATTACCTTTGAGTCCACCGTAATCACTGGTATTTTTCCAGTTACTTCTTTTATGTGATTCGCAAAATCATCAACAACCCGGTCTTTACACGGGGTTCACTGAAGTTAAAGCTAGTTAATCGTTTAAATCATTAACACAATGATAATTAAAATGACCACTGAAGACTAATAACTCTCAAACTCACGCCAAGAGATGCCGATGAAAATACCATTCAGCGATCTATGATGGCATTATCATGAGTCATATATCATAGTCACATTGTGCTCGGAGATACTTCTGTCTTTTTGAAAATGCCCTCGGCAGGATCATCCTGCTCATGTGAATTCAAGGTGTTTAAGTAGCTAACATATGATTAGTTACCCATAGTTCGGAGCGAAAATTTCGAATTCACATGGGAATGAATGATGCCCGTGAGGTAAGCTAATCCATGAGGCTGAAGTGATTCCTGGAGAAGGATGCTTCCGGTAGGGGAAAGGACTCACTCATTTTGTTCGATCGTTCATTCAGCATATACCTTTAGCGGTCAACCTGTTCTGT